CGCCCGCTGCCTGGGGTTGTCGATTTCCACCGCTAACGGCGCCGCCGCATCGCTTGCGGATCGCGATCTGCAGCCGCCGAGCGATCGGCGCTCCACGCCCTTCCATGCTTCGCCGCGCGCCCAGAACGCATTCTCGCGAGAGCCGGCGCTAATGGCTCTAATTTGTCCTCCCCTCCCGCCCTTCCCAAGAAAAAAAAAGTACGCATGCAAACTCAAGTCTGCATCGCCCCTCTCCATTCGAGCAGCACATACTTTATCCGCTATCACGCTCTTTCTTACGCATCACTAACCCCTGTAATCACGCATTCAATGAAGTCCCTACTATGATCACTAACGAATGGAAAATAGACTGAGCGAGTTATATAAACCCACTGGACTAATTACTTCAGCTAAATAAACAGCTCTAAATAATTTGATTTAATCACAACACACTCCTTATCTGCTTGATATAAAATCATAACACACTCCTTCTCTGCAGTAATGGTGCTACGCAATCAAATATTGGGGCAATAAGCAAGAATACTGTGCTATTTACAATGCTTGCAGATTTTGTGAAATTTTGCAGCACGAAAGTTACAATTCTTCATGGCATTTTTTAGAATATTTAATACTTTAAAAACGATCTTCAAAAAGCTTACCGTCATCGTCTCGGCTCTTTGTCCTCTTTCACTTTTGTACGCACCGCCGTCCAGTCTTCCGAACATCTTGTTGTCCCAAAGCTGCGCATCTGTAAAATGTTATCATATATTATTGGTACAATTATCGAGACAGACAGTACTCACACTAATCAATTGGTGGACATTACATTAACATAGTTTCAGTAATCACAATGGCATTTCTGAAAAATGAGCAAACCACTGTGGAAAAAAAGTGAGAACCTATAAAATGGCAAGAATCTTAAGTATGATTCACTTGACGGACTCGAGCAAACATTCGTTTCAAAAGCTTGAAAGCGCCGTCTAGAATGTTGATCAGTGACACGACAGTGAACTATATAGTGAGAAGAAACGCTAGAACATTGACTGGCAATTGAACAGTCAAATTAGCCTGAGCTCGAGCAAAAGGCAAAACAAGCAATCACGACTCCAAGCTCGAGGGCAAACTCGACCGCTAGTCCAGCTCGACCACCACCTCTAGCTCCAGATCAAGTTCCTGAGCCTCAGCCCGAGTCCCGAGGCATTACCCATGATTAACGGCATTCTTAATTAAACTGAACTGATCAACAAGAATTAGCATGTTTGAACCCAAAATAAATACGACTTCCACTCTTTGCAGAATCATGGTGTGGTGGCTGAAATGCTCATTACCGCCCTATCCTGAGTAACTTGGTGAACAAAGTGGGCTTGCGGAAGCTTTTCTTGTGATTCTTCCATTTCCTCTCCTTCTACTTCCAACATTCTTCCATATTCATTCATGTGAATGAACACCACAATCCAACCATCAAACTCTCCATTTCTGGTCTAGTCGAAAAGGCTTAGTAGGATCATAATAAAGTGTTCGAAATACTGTACTTTAGTAAAACTATAACACAAAGTAAGTGCTGGCTACTCTTCGCAGCCAGCGGCGTCCGTTAAGAGTTTTAACATTCGCCCATAGGTTAAAAATAATTAAAACAAATGGGGTGTAGCCAAAGATGACATACTAGTACTATTAAAGGACAAGGTATTTCGTATGTTTGTGTTTTGTTTTTTCTTATAAAGTGGTTCTACGAAAACCATTTGTTGACACTATTGATAACACAAATAAGAGACTCGGTTGCATATAAACATAGGCTGTCGCCTCAACTCACACACAACACACGCGACCGTTATGTTCTGTACATCGGCCTGAGAAGGTACATAACTTTTCGTAAATCTCTGTTATAAATTCGTCTTTAAGGAACCAGAGGAACAACAGAAAGTCATTCTTAACGGCCCACGTCCGTTAAGGATTTAACAGTCCTGTAAAATTAACGGAAACAAATTAGTTGAAAATCAAAATATGGCGTGTTAGTCTCCTATTCCAAGAAAAGATATTTCTTGGTATTATTCTTATAAGAAGGTAGTATTTGGAAAAGTATTGAGCGACACACGACCGATAACACAAAAAATAGGCTTGATAGTTCTAAGCCTCGGCCATCGTCATCGCTCACAACCGTCAATCGCATCCATTATTTGCTGCATGTTCGATTAGTGACTTAAAAAATCCTATTGGGTGTGGCATCCTCGCACTTCCGCGCCAATTCTTCGTACTGCAGCGCTCCCGCGAGCTGCGGCGGCGGCGGTCGCGGGTACCGAGACCGGCGCAAAGGATCTGCGCGGACAGAACAAAGCAGCGGCGCCGTGTCTGCGGGCGACCGGCCTCCCACTATTACCATTCAATCCCTGCATGCGCCGAGGCCGGCAATTAATCCACTCGCATGATAAACCCTCCGGGCCTCCGGCCGTCCGGACGCTCGCATTATGCTGATTAGCCCGCCTCTAACCCACTTCGAGAAGGCGGACGGGCAGGAGAGAACAATCGCGAGGAAATTACCGTCATCTCCGGTAATGATATGGTGTAAGTGGATCTGTTACCGCGAAGCCGCCTCTTCCCTTCGCCGATTACCGCCGGCGGAACACGGCCGAGTTCGTAGCCCCGCCCTCTTTACGGCTTGGACTAAGCGGCCGGCTGTGTCGCGCCATCGTTTACGTTTTTCGCCCTCGTCAGGGAATTTCTTGTCCCAGTGTCACTCGCCGCAACAGTTCGTCTCAGATCTTTCCATTAACATCTCTTCACACGGATTCCCTTGTTAATTCTTTCCTTCATTACATTATTCGTAATACCCTTCCTTATTTTTTCTGATTTCAGCTAATAATAGTTATTCCATTGAGATCCTAGTGTCACTGTCTTTTTAGTTTTCATCGTCACCCTTTTTACGATATCCTACACCACATTTATCTGTCATCAAGTATAGTTTGTTACCTCCTTCCCATCCCATCAACTTCTTCCATTATATCAATCTTGTCTACCGCATTCCTAACGCCAGTTAAAATGTGCATAACTTTCTTCGTACCTCTCGACATTCTCAATCACCGCAGTATCAGAGGTTTCCACCATCTGGATCTGCGACGTCTCTAATGTCGTACGAATCTCATTTGTGGCGTGTTTGTTTTTTGGAAGTTCCTCAACAAACTTTCATATGCGTTACCACTCCAACTATCATAGTCGCCATGACAATCGCCTATTGCCGGCAGGAACTGTCTCAATAAAACGTCATAACACAAATTCCGCTTCCTTGTTTTTTTCTCCGTTTCTTCGTCTGTTATACTCAAGATTTCTCTATCACACTCACTCGCATCTCCGTTAAGAACATTCCCACTGCAATGAATGGAGCAACTGTACTCCATCACTTCTTATTCATTTGCAGCATCTGAGAGTCTCAGATTTCACCCCCTGTTCTTCCTCCACCCACTACGTACGTGTCACTTCCGCCGCTTCACCTACTCTGCAGCGGCCAGCGCCGCCGCTATTGTCTCCGCCACCCTCCCCGCGCCCCGCGCC